AATCCTCTCGGTCTGACTAGAGTGTTATCCCGTAACTCGTCAACCCTTGCACTACGCTCTTTCGATGGTTTAATCTCTTTTCCACCAAATTTCATCATGTTTTACTAGGTATTTTCTTCGAGAACATGAAATAATTAGAGATTTTCTCCTAGAACACCTCCTTCAGAGTACACAGCAATTTATTTTCTTTGTGTTGAGTTATAAACTGCATTTCATTTCGATATCACAAAGTTGAACTATTATTAATTTGCTCATCTAAAGTATGATATTGTTTATACCAGTGAGAAGTTTCATCTCAGATGTATCTTTAGGTTCTTGATGTATTTTTGTTGATGTATTTTTCAATTCTGATTCGAAATGTTACTGCCATTGGATCTCAGAATAGAAGTGAGAGAGGCTGTATTTGTGTTTCATCTGTGAGTTGTACCAATAAGGTAGCATTTGCCGTATGTGAAGAAAACATTCAGGCTTGAACTTCCAGTGCATGTGTAGTTACAGATACTTGACACTCGGATCAGTGCGTTGCTAGAGCCAATCTAGCGTCCTGTGATTGAGGTGCTCTGGCTGTGCCGCTATCCTCTGTGCATCAGACAGGGTCGAAATGATCGTTGCTACATTCTGAAAGACTCAAACGGCAAAGCGATCTTACCCCGAGGTAACCCACAATCTGTGATACTTCAACCTTGTGCATTTCTCTCACTGATGTGACTTTTCATTCTGAGATCTCTGCACAGTCAAGATATTTAACTGAACCTACTGACGGAAGAAGACTTGTGATTTGATGCATTGTCCCAGAAAGAATATTCCCTTTCGATTCTACCGTCAAGCAGAAAATAGTTCAACTTTGAGACAAAAAAGTAGATTTTCCTCTCCGAATGCTCTTCTTCTCTAGAAAACTGCTGTGTACTAACTGATGACAATAGTCAAATAGTTGGTCTGATTCCATTAACTACAACAAAACCCAAAAAATACTGGTAGAAAAACACTCGTAGCACTGCGTTAAAAAGTTAAGAAATGACTGATTGACTTGTGTTGTATATCTATTATGTACGTTAAAAGAGAACAAGAANGATAATATACGCACACTGTCTGTCTGTTTTTCTCCTTCTATCAACGAAATAAAAAAACAGCACATCGTTACAAGGAAAATACGAAGTCAATGTGATTCTAGTTTCGTGCAAGGATTGATTTCGTACTTTGATAGTTTAAGGAACAGAATGATATAATAATAAAAAATTTGCCTCAACGGTGTCCAAAGGATAAATCTCCTGAAGATTTTGTGGATGAGAGGCCAGCTGCGATTCGCAGCTGGCCTCTCATATTCTATAAGTCGACTAGGAATGAGGAATTGGCAGTAGACCGTTTTAGAATATCAGCAGCGAAGCGGGCAAGGATTGACGAGTTACGGGATAACACTCTAGTCAGACCGAGAGGATTATCATGCATTCAACTTCTGCTCTATTCAAAATTCTCTGAGAAATTACAGAAGCTCAAAAGAGCCTAGCTTTCATTTGAAATAATTGTTGAAATAATGATATATGCTGTTCAACATTACGAGCACAAACTGTAACGACGACGAAGCACTCACGCAGTCGTGCCAGTGATATATTCTGTCGTTTTGATAGTGAATCATTTTGGTTTTCTTCATCAATAAATGAATTATTTCTTGATATAAATGTTGCAGAAGTGAAATGTTTACATCGTAAAAACGTAAAAGTAGTCCATAACACCACATACTAATAGCTAACAAAATCCAAAATACCACAAATCTCTTCTGATTCATTATACAGTCGAATTTTTTCACCAAGGAGAAATCTATATCATAGCTTAGAATAGAAAAAGAAAAATGTTTGAACATCTGACAAAATATGAAATGTAAACATGCACTATTAGCAGGAACAAGAAAAGTTAGAAAATTAATGGCAAATCTGACACATAGAATAAGCAGTATCCTCCCATTCGAAAGCAGCTATTTTTATGTAAGACTGAAGCAACATAATATACTATGTATATTGGCATTATTTCACGTAAGATTTATTTGCTTTATTTTTATGGTCATTTGACAGGAAAGGAAGTAAAGAAAAAGAGGTACTTCTATACGTCAAGGTTAAAAGCCTGTGAAGAATAAAACGAGTTTGGACTTTTCTTCAGAAATACGTTGTTTCACAGGCATGTCCTATTTTCCATGTGATGGAAATGTGGTGTACACTGATCGAAGGAGGCGTTTGGTCAATGGTGTAATGAACGGTTCATATCAGATATCTAATACTATCATTAAAATCATGTTTATCAAGTTTGAGAAGCCTCTATCACTTCATATCGTTCAAATAAAATTCCAGAGTGGTAAAAGGCAAAACATTTATCAAATGCTTTGTCACTAGATAAACCACCGAATACTTCTCGAACGAAGTCAGTTAAGGCGTATTTTATTCCACGAACACAAAGAGATAGGAATGAACTACCTTCTCTCTTAGCATGTCAGTCCTTTTTATCCACACTTAAAAGTATATTGTGAGATCATGCAGGCTTTCAATAAAATCAAAAATACGGCTCTATTAGCCTTTAGTCACACGAGTTTTCGTCATTTAGAACCTTCCAGAGCTAATAACCTTCATCAACAAGCTAAAAGTCTATATAAAATGCGTTAATATACCCTACAAATATCTGTAGAAAGTTTATCTAGTGAGTACATTACTAGTATTAGTCTTTACTCTCGCGTTGCTGCCGTTCATCTAACAAGACTAAATCTCGTTTAGGAAGAAAGGCCATCATCTTGCACGTACACATCAAATGTTAGGCTTCTAATGTATCTCTGATGAGATAACACGCTTTGTAAGTTGGAAATAAGTGAGTGCATTTAATATGATTTGGGATCGTCTTGAAAATGTTTTTCCGTGCTAACTTTAGTTTTTGGTGTGCTACATACATTTATGTATGTTTTTGTTTTATAAACAGCTTTACATCTTGATAATGAAGCCACGAGTAAGTCATAAACATAATTAAAACAAATAGTTGGCTTAAAATTTGATTATAATTTAATTGACCGTGTAAATGATTGATTATATAGATCGATGATATTAAACTCATGACTAACTGTAATGAGCCTGTTATTGGTAATAATTGGCCAAGTTTAAGTTTATAATTGATTCCATTCATTGTTTTATCCGTTAATGATAAATACAAATATAATATTATATGATGAAAAGTATTCAATAAAATTGTTGGAATAATTAGCCAGGATAGATTAATTAAATGGTGTTCTATTGAATAAATACTTATCCACGTAACAATTAATGTTGATAAATGATGAACACGAAAATGTCGACTTATTGTTCCACGCATCAATACAACAAATATTATATCTAAATATTCGTATAATTTAGAACAAAGATAGATGTATAATAATATTGATACTCTATCATAATTATAACTCAAATAGTATGAATAAATTAATATAATGGTGAATAAACAGCTAAAAATCGAGTAAATTAAATTATTCCAGCCAACAAAATATCGTGCATTCTGTTGGAAATAAATATAGTTTTTCTTATATGTTGTCGTTTGACATAATTTTTCTAACAATGTTAAAATAACTATAAATAATATTGTTGTAATAAATACAAGATAAAATGATGTAAATATTAACATTAGTTATTCAGTAATTTTAAACGATTTTGCGTATACATAAATACAATGGTATGATGCAAAATATTGTCAATGCCATAAAATACAGCATTTAAAAGTTAAAAGTCAATAGTTTTGAAAATTATTCGTTGTTTGGTAAATATTATGATATGCATAATTTGTTATCCATAGCTCGATCAATTAGAATGTTAAGAATGAAGAAAACTATAAGAATTTTATAAAATATCATCCGTTCAAATTTATGGATAAAAATTCTTATGGATATTAGGTTTAGATATACGATGATATCTGTGAAAATTCTATAATGATCACTGACTATTGGTTCTTTCATATGTGTAGCGACAAGATGCAGAAAAGGACTGAATATTCAGTGTCTACTCATTTTTATTTCGCTCTTGCACACCTCTTCCAAAAATGAAAATGTAGTTGACTTCTACGATCTTGCCTAGGCCTAACTATATCTAACGACGGGATCTAAGGACCGAACTTCGAATAGGTTTGATGAAAATATCTTAAAAAGCATAAAAATAATATTGATTTACTTGTCCCTAAATTTCTTATTCTCACCTTTCATTTTTTTATACTTTAGTATCGCGCTTATGTCCAGATGCACACAGAACGAAGAAAGAAGAATAAAACGAAAGATGTGAAAGTTTTTATTTGTTCTACTCCTTTTTTTTATCTACACAAGATCAAAACACACGTGCAACGTTGGAAAGAGAAATATATATATTGCGTAGTATTATGATAAAAACGAATATAATAGAATGACGTTGTATTCTCACTTCATCTCCAATTAAATTTGGCTACATTTTCTATTATTATGAATGATAGGTAACCGATGTTGTGATCCAGATTGCCAACTCTAAAAGTTCAAAAAGAGGAAGGCAAATCTTTTGTACTTAATTATTTTAGTACTGTAATAATTCTTTACCAACATATGTATTTAACATATCGATGCAGGTACAGTAGAAAAAATCTATCTGTTTTCAGCAACATCAACCAAACTATTGAACACGTTGTTTTTTGAACTTATACTTCTTGACTGAAAGAGTGGAGCAACAAAGTAAGAGAAAGAAAAAGGAAAAAAACAAATTAATTTGCATGAGGAAATCATTCTCTCAGCTCTACATGACCTTTCTTTTCAAAGTTATAGAGTTTACAAGAAAAGCCCTAAATTCAATTTTTCTTTTTCTTTCTGTAGCTCTGAGGTGACAGTTTTTAGGGCTTTTCTTGTAAAGTCTATAACTATGAAAAGAAAGGTCATTTAGAGCTGGAATATATCTCATTTTGATCAGAATTTCGCGGGGTACAATCGTAGCTTATTTAGAAAAAGTTTTGGAAAGGTTTCCTCGTGAGTTGTTCGCTGAGATATTCTAATAGGGGATGGACTTCAAGTACGTGGGGGTTACCGCTGTACTACTAGCAGGCGACAAAATTTGACCGCAATAGAAGATCACCCTTTAGAACACGACTTACGTCGAGGGACACGTATTAAAGTGCATATGTGAAAGGTACGTACACCTTCATCGTCACCGACCGGGTAAAGTGTCAAAAACGTCACTGTAATAAAACTTCATGTTGTACTAAATTTTCTGATATATGTCCCGCAAGGGTATTTCTAACTACTGATCACCAACTAATCGATGAAATAGTTACTTTCTCATAGATTTTAGAATAGTATTTATCTATCGATGCACAACACTCTTCTTGAAGACGCTTAGAAAGGTTTTTATATGCATACGGATGAAGGAGAAACGTCTGTGTTAAAACGGTGAAAACGTGCTTAAATACCGGCATATAAATATGATCAATAAATAATTGTTTGATTACGAAGAAGAAGAATATCTTCAAGTTCAATATGGAGAGAGGAAGAGAAAATGAGAAAAGATGATCGTGGAGGTGGGGTGGAGTGAGGTAGTGGTCTGGTTTATCGACACGTTTAGTAACTTTTGTAAAGCTGATCATTGAGTGGCATATCGATATGAGTTTGTCTTTTTTTACTGAGGTATCGAGGATTAAGAGAGACAGAATGAATGGTTCGTCGTGCACTACATTCCTTAGGTTTATCGACCGACCATTTCTATGTCGATATAATGAGTCCAACGGACTAGATGATCTCTCGTCTCAACCTCACCGCACTCACAAAGATCCATATCTGATAATGATTTTTATAGAAATCCGCATTCAATTGCGAAAAATGCGTCCGCCAGTTGATGAAAGGGAATATCAGCTTCTCTTGGAACATTATGTATTCGGTATGTAGCAGGCGTTAAGAATTGCGATTCATTCAGCAATGATATAAAAAGTTTCAGAGTTTTATTTGATTTAATAGTGACAGATAGATTGTTCCACTCCCTAAAGACTTCAAAGGATTCCATTTATCGATCATTTGGTGTATGTCATTTTATTTATTTATTTTATTAAATAGTGCAGCAACACTTACAAATACTTTAATCCAAGTTTATCATCCGTACTAACAGCTAACTTTTCGAATTTTGAAACAGCTGTTTCCTATTAACAGAAACATTTTCTTTTTTTAAGTAATCAAATATCACTTCATACTATCCTAGGGGTTGTATTCAAAACTTACAAAAAGACAAGATAAAAAAATACTATTTAGATTTAACCGCCCTTATGCGGTGAAGTAGATAAGTACCGGCAATGGGAAACTAAGAGCTGACATCACTTAAAAAATTCCAGAAAATATTCCAATTCTCTTTATCTGCTTTCTTACTTGTATCTCGCCATTCCCCTTACCGCCTTTACTATTATACAAAATTTTGTATATGAGACCCATTGTGCATTTTCACCGGTATCTTGTCTAGTTTCATCCTACATAAACGATTGAAATGTAAAAGGAAGTAATAACTATAATTAATAATAATAATAATAATAATTAATAATAATAATATATTCGAATTATAAACATTAAGCCATAAGAAATTGTCGTTTTACATATATGTAACGGATGAAACTAACAAAAAGTATTTGCTCTTTGGTTTTCAGTAAGACCATCTCCTATTGGAAGACCACTCCCGATTATATGACCTGAAAGCCAAATAGAAGACCATGGCCTTCTAATCCCCTCCACAGAATAGAAGATCAGTGATCTTATATTATGTCCGCAAAAAGAAATCGGAAGATGCCCTTTACTTAACCTATAGGACAATTTTTCAAAAAAAATAATAATAGTAATAATATTTTATTACTCAAGCATTTGACTAAAGAAAAACTAAATAAAAAGTATGTCTGAACTAGACCACCAAAAAATGTACATAATGATCGAAAATAAAAGTTGGTTACAAGTTAATGTTTTCTAACTAAAGAAACAATTATCAATAATGAAAATTAAATTAACAATTGTTAACAATTATTGTTTTCGTACCGGAAAAACAATCATCATTGGTTTTCATCATTGGTTTTCTGCCCTAGGGCAGGTTTCAGGATATAATTTCTCCAATATAATCGATCTTGAGCGTATTCTTTCATCACTTTGTAGGCATTTATGTCTCCTTCTTTCAAATCATCAAGCATCATTTTTCTTCCTTGTCGCCGCTTTCCTTCGATTCTACCTTCTATTACATCCAATAAAAGACCATTTCCTCTTAGAATGTGACCAATCCACATTATCTTTCTTCTTTTTATCACTCCTAGCAATTTCCTCTTTTCTCCCACTTGCACCAGAATTTGATCATTCGTTCTCTTATCTTTCCAACTTATCTTTTCCATTTTTCTCCATATCCAGATCTCAAAAGCTTGCAATCGTTTCATCTCGTCTGACATTATCGTCCAAGTCTCAGAGCCATAAAGTGCTACACTCCACACCACCTCTTTAATAATCTTTTTCTTCAACTTTTTGTCCATTCTTTGCGTGAGTAGTTCTCTACGTTTATTGAAAGCATCTTTTGCCATTGCAATCCTTGCTCTTATCTCAGCAGCACATCTTCCATCTTCGGTAATTAGGGCTCCCAGATATCTGAATTTTGTCACTTGCTCTACTGTTTGTCCATTAATAATAATGTTAACCAATTTACCACCTTGTCTTGAAATTACCATCGTCCTCGTCTTCTTAACATTAATCTTCATGTCAAACTTTTCACTAGATTTAACAAGTGAGTCCATCAACTTCTGCAAATCTTCTTCTGAGCTGGCTGCCATTGCCTGGTCGTCTGCAAACCTTACGTCTTTCAGTAGTTCACCTCCAACTTTGATTCCTGCACTGACATCTTCCATCGCTTCTATCATCACCATTTCAGCGTAGATTGAAAATAGTAACGGCGAAAGCAGGCAGCCTTGTCTTACTCCACGCCCAATTACTGCCGGTTCTGACATTCCGTCTGCCACTCTTACAATAGCTTCTTGATTTAGATACAAATTCTTGATGAGCCTTCGATCTTTCCAATCAACTCCAATCTTCTTCAATATTTCCATCAGTTTCTTCCAGTTTACTCTATCAAAGGCTTTCTCAAAGTCCACGAAACGGATATAAACATCTTAGCCGTGTTCCAAGCATCTTTCGTAGAGCATTCTAAATCTATCTCTTCCTCCGTGGGCTTACCATCTTTGTCGTACAGTTCTTCAATATACTCTTTCCATCTTTGTCTCACTAACTTCGGATCTGTTAGTAGCGTGCCATATTTATTCTTTATCGTATGAATATTACTTTGGGCTTTCTTGCTACCTGTCAGCTTCTTCACCATCGAATATACTAAGTCTGCTTTGCCCTGTTTGTTAAGCAACTCAAGTTCATTGCACTTCCTTTTCCACCAATCCTCACTTGCCTTGTCAGTAATTCTCCGGAGCTCATTATTCAATTTTCGATACATCTTTCTTCCATCTTCAGTATTAATACCTTTCTATTTCCTTCTCTCTTCCATTTTTCCAATCATTTCATCGGTTATCCATGGTTTCTTAATTCTAGTCCTATGGTCATATCCTATGGTTACTTTTGCACTTTCTATGATACTCTCTTTCAGATAATTCCAGCTTTCATTTATCGATTTTCGTCCCTTCATCTTCTCCATCCTACATTCAATCTCATTCCGAAAACCCCCACTATCATGCTTCAATTGCTCCAGATTCCGTTTTCTACGGACCGAGGCCTTTTTGAGTACTTTTAATTTTACTCTTACTTTCATCATAACCAAATTGTGATCTGAGTTAACATCTGCTCCTGGATAACTACATGACTTCTTCACGCTATTGCTGAATCTTTGATTTGCCAGAATGTAATCCAGTTGATACCGATCTTTTCCACCAGGGCTCTTCCATGTGTATCTCCTTCTCTTTTCTTGCATAAACCAGGTGTTTGTCACCATCAGTTTCTTTTCTCTACAGAACTCTACTAGTTTCTCTCCTCTTTCATTCCTCTTTCCCAGTCCAAAATTGCCAACTTACTTTCCATCAACGCCTTCACCAATTACAGCGTTCCAATCGCCCATGATTATTAAATAGTCACTGGCTTTTTCTATTGCAACTAGTTCATAAATTTGCTCATAAACCTTTTCCACTTCTTCGTCGTCACTTGCTGAAGTAGGCATATAGACTTGTACTATTACGATATCCACTGGTTCCGCCTCTATTTTCACTAGTATGAGTCTGTCACTGTGTTGAACCACTTTCTTGACTCGCTTTCCTGTTTTCTCATCTAATATAATAATCACACCATTTGCACCTGCTTTTGCATTAACACAATGAATGATCCTATATTTCTCTAACCAGAAATCACCTTGTTCCTTCCATCTCACTTCTGCTAATCCCAGCACATTTAGGTTATTTTTTGCCATCTCTATCTTAACATTTTCAATCTTCTCCTTCTTCAACATTGTTCTCACATTCCAAGTACCGATCTTCAGCGTGTCGCAAGGGTTTCGCCGGATGACGACCTTGGAAGCCTTGTTACTTCCACTGCCGGACGCGACATCTCTGGTTGAACCAGAGGTCCCGTTAACGTCGTTAGCGTTTGTTTTCCTAATTGTTGTCATTCATGTGCCTTGTCTAGGGGAAAAAAAAGACGAGGTAGTTTCCCGTTGCTTTCCTCGCCCGTTGTACAGACTATTTTGGGAATAGCACTCCCTAAGCTCTGTTTTACAGTATCCCATTGACTCTGTAGATGAGTTCATCTGCCATCTGCATGCTTGAGATATCCGTTGACCATACTATGGCAGTTCTTCCGCATAACTCAAACGTATCTTTGCCAGCTTCCAAAGACCACCTGTGACCCCAGGCAAGGGACCCTTACAGGTACTATCACTCCGGGTCAGAGTGAACCTGGAACTGTGGGGGCAGGAGTCGCTCATTTTCCTGTATAGTATACATCACCATTGTGACGTACACTACCCACTACCCACAAGAACGGAAAACAATAACGATTAATAATTTCGATTCGAATCTTTTCTCTAAATAATTTATGCGCTTAAAGTACGAAAGTTGAAATATAGGAGGGATGAGGGTGATAGATGTTTTCTATGCATGGAGTGCAGCCATTCGGAGTATAGAAACAGCTACACTCTCATTTACATGGAACGCGCACACCAAAAGGTTCGCGACTGTATTACAAGTTGTTTCTAGTATTCATCTTTTCATATAGCTACAAGCTCATTGATCCTTACAGCCGGATTAAGATTTTCATGTATTTTCCGCAGTTTTCATGTAACGGAGCCTCCGTGACCGTTACATCTCCTCCCTACCTAGAGTGAGAAGATTCGACCTCGAATCAAAGTAGTTCCCGAAACTGCGAACGTTCACACTATAGAAAAGGTTTTGTTCGCGTTACATAAAACTAGGAAATTATCAGCTCGGAGACATAAAACTAGCTATACAACTGACAGTGTTTGATGTTTCTATTTTGGCTTTGAAAAAGAGAGAGGAATAAAGGAAAAAGAAAGCATGTGATCAATATCGATAAAAGAGTAAAATGGATGAACGACGCGAAGTGTTGATAAGTGACACATTCATATACAGTCTTTCTGCTCTCACTTCTCACATAAAATTGAACACACTCTTTACCTCTTCTTATCAAAATATAATTCGTTTCATCTCTTCCACTAACTTGTAATCTATCGGGTATAATGAACGCACAAGAAATGACGGTATAAAAAGAATTATTAGCTCAACGAATTAACAGTGCAGGATCCGCCGGTCGTCGTTTAATTGTTCTGTGTCGTGACCAACGTATTGCTGCATATCTAGCAATTCGTTATCCAACACTGAATAATCGATTCGGTCTTGGATTATTCAGCGACATACATTATGGTGACCACAGAGTTATTGTTGTCGCCACTAATTATTTATTGACACAACTAATCGACGACAACGACGAAATTTTTGTGTTCTTTTAAATGTGGCTGATGTTATTATTTTTGAAAATCTGTTGTTCGAAAACTTTCTCAAAACGAACGCAATGTTTTCTTATTGTTTTGATTTATTTGTGTGTTTTACTGCTTAATCTCGACTTATAAAGAAGGAATTTGAAATAGAGAGTAATATGGTCTTAAGCGCTGAACATGTATTATTTCCACCACCGATTACCAGCTAAGGAAGTTAACTGATAATTTAGGGATGTAATCTTTTCCATAATCTTAAATGGTCCAACCCATCGAGGATCCAACTTAGGTGCTTTCCATTTACCGAGTGCACTATCTAGTCATCATCACAAGATCGACCAACTCAAAATGCACATCTCTACGATGTCGTAGGATGAACGCTGATTTTGTTGTGCGATTTCGAGATGCTCTCGTACAAAATGAAATGCTGGTAAAAGGTTAGCTGTAAGTCGATCACGATAGACCCGAACATTTCGATCATTGGCTGGATGATCGTCAGATGGATTTATTGAACCAAATAGTACATCTATCGATAAACGAGGTTCGCGACCGAACATCAGGAAGGTAGGAGATTCTCCAGTGCTATCGTTTATCGCCGTCCTAAGAGCGAAAGCCAATTGAGGAAGTTTTGTATCCCAGGCACGTCGATCACTTTGAGCGTAAGCTCTTATCATGGTTTTGAGCATATTATTCGCTCGCTCTGATAGATTAGCTTACGGGTGATATAAGGCAGTTTGGCGATGATTTATTTGGAGAATACGAAGAGTTTCTTCAACTACTTTCGAAATAAATTGCGGAGCGTTATCTGAGATGATCTTTACTGGGCATCCAGAACGACAAATAACTTCATCGAGAAGTATTTGTGCAATATGAGTAGAACGCGTGTTTTGCAATGGAAATAATTTCACTCATTTTGAAAAGTAGTCGTCGACCGCATCACTGAGTCTCAACACAGTTCTATTTAATACACTAGAAGGTCGAGGCAGATCCATGCGACTACTTGCTTTAAGTAGCATTTCACATAGACTTAACCACAATAAATGTGCGTCGCTTTGTCAGACAG